ACAGGGTTTGAAGAGGAAAACCCAGTGTAACACTAAAGCAACCGAACAAACACTCAATGAAAACAAAGTTTGCAAACTGCCCATGGGCCTCCAAACTAACATATTCAAACAGAAAGAATAAAATAAACCCAATTATAATTCAATTAATGAAACCTATTTTCCGAATAATAGTGGAAATTAATTAGTAAATTAAACTAACAATTGTGGAAGAGGCAACCAATATTTAGTTAATTAAAAGTGGAGAAATAATGGAGGACACAAGTGGAGATGAAAGGGAGATTAATGAAGAAAGACCAGTGTAAGTTTACATGAATGGGGATTGAAATGGATGGTCCATGGACACGTGCAAATGATGGCCTTGTCTTCCCCTAATGATGGATTCCCACCGCTTTCCTCCACTGTGTGGGATCCACCTCCTATCATGCCACCCAAGTTCAACCTTTTTATTTGACCCACATTCAAAAATCTCAATTATTAACAAAAAAAAAAAAATCTCAATTCTCCTCCTCCTTCTACGTTCTACATTCCTACTCTTTACTCTCTACACGACAAAACCTTCTCATCTTCCACTTACATCGCTTCATCTGTCCCCCCCCCCACCTCTCTCTCTCTCTCTCTGCGTGTATGTGTGTGTGTTTCGTTTCTGTTATCTCTGCCCCTCTTCTTAGTTTCATCTCACGGCGCTTCCTCCCTCACTCATCATCATCATACCGTACAATCATCTGTAGCAGTCACGCAATTATGTTGTTCGTTTTGTTTTTTTTCCCTTTGCCTAAACCATCGAACTGTTTTTTTAATTGCTTATTCCACAAATGATATATGCATGCCCAAGCTTCTGAAGCTTTGCGGGCGTTCCAATAACGCCTTTCCAAGTCATAAACATTTGTCATACAGCTATTTAATTCCTTCCGCAACTGGGTGCAAATAAACAATAATGGAATGGCCTGCCTGGAAAGACATGGAAATGAAGGGACTTCAAAGTTTAATTTAGAACTTTAATTATATTTGTTTGAAGGAGAGTTTGTGGCGTATGACTATATGAGTTCAATTCAAACCATTATTTTCTCTTCCATTGAGGCTGCTTCCACTGAATAAAATGTTCCGGATCGGCCAGGACATGGACCCCCAGAAACAAAAGATCTATGTTCGAACTCAAGAAGCAAATAGTATGACCAGCAATATATATGCAGTTTTGTTGGAAGCAATTTCTGAAAGTCTCGTTAACATTTCGTTTTAAATTTGATGGAAGCCAAATTGAGTTTGTTGGCACATGAAACATGAGCGGATGTTGAAAGAAGTCTTGCATGTTATAATTAGATCAAGAATTGAAGGGGATACATATAATTTAAAATGATTCATAGTTCATGGAACTATTGTTTCAAGGTGTTAGGATAAACATGCATATCTTCATAATACTCCTATGTTTTAATTATATGATGATTATGAGTTTGTTAATGATATCTCTTCTACCTATGGTTAGTGGCAGAGGGAGGAGGACCAGCAAGGCCTATCAACTTTTTAAATTTTTTTTATATTATATAAGTGTTATATATTTTCAGTCTTGCTAAAATTTATAACAATTTTATAGTATATATGTTTTTTAATCTTGGCCTCCATTATTCTTAAATTCTGGCTCTGCCCCTACCTGTGGTGGTGTGTTTTGCCATTATCAACATATATACTTCTTTTGATTCTCATTATAGGGGATCTGATTTTCTAAAAACTTTGTAAGACCTATAACACAGTGTGGTATAATATTTTCCAAACGTTGGTCAATTTTATCTTCGAACCATGTAACTAGGTTTTTTTTTTTTTGTTTTGGTATATGGGTGAGAATAATTTTGTTGAAAGCACGTTATAATATAAGAAGCAGAGAAAACGTATATATATAAAAGTTGTATCTATAATTACAGAAACAGACACGTAATACTTAGCATCATATAATTGCGTAGGTTTAGGAAGACAAGAAGTGACGTGGGGTATAATTGAGATGTAAGATTAGCTGGCAGGAGAGAGGCTGGCGGGGTAGCTAGAAGCTGTAGAAATTCCTGAATTGGCTATTTGAAGATAAATAGGAACAGGATCATGAAAGCCTATCTAGGTGTATGGCTAGATTGAAGCTGGGAAGAAAATGTTGCTTTGTGTTGTCGTGATTGAAGGCCGATATGATATAAATGTGGTGCAATCAGATACGGGATCTGTGTTGAATGAAGCCAAATAACATGGCCTCCCTCTCATCTTAATCCCTACATTTACATTTTGTCAACTTTGGTATCATTATCTCCCCCATTCTCACTTCCACATACAGTGACAGCTGGCCAATCCCATACCAGCTTTAAAATTTAAAGTTAACTCGAATTACTTAACATTTCCCCTTTCATCACAAGCCAGGAATATTAATAATTAACTCACTGCACTGATATTTTCACACCATGCAACTCAGGTTTAATTTGATACTGTCTGGATCAAAAGTAGCCATTCAACATAACTTGCGGAAATTATTGTGAGGAGAATGACATTTTAGGTCTTCTTAAAGAAATCTACTGCAATAAAGATCCATCATTTTAATATTAGATATCATATTGTGAAAACACATATTATTATTGTTAAAATACTTTACTTAATAACCAAGTTGGATTACAATAGGAAATTATATAAGTCGTGTTTATTTTTATCCTGGAAATATTAAAATATAAAAATAAAAATTTATATTTATATTCTTTTTATAGACAATTTAAAATTAAATTACAATCTATCTAAATTTTAAAAATGATGATAAGATAATCTAGCTAGTCTATATATCTTATTTTATTTTAGATAATGTTTAAATTCTAATTAAATTAATGAATATTCTAAATACTATTTTTCAAATAATGTTAATAAAATAATTCCAAATATACTTATCTAAGATACACCTAATAATTATATCTTACCTATATTTCATCAAAATATGAATTGAATAAGCCAATATATATTGATATTTGTTTGCAAGTATCCAATCATGCAGTCCAGGATGGAAATAAGAGTGACGTTTTGCTTTAACAAAAAATACAAAGACCCCGGATAAAACTGTATAAGAAAAAAAATAATTACCAGCATACACAGATCAGCTTAACAGAAAATTCATACACCTTAAAAGGATATAGAACAAGATTAAGTTGCACGCAAACAGTCGGGAGATCGGAGAAAAATGATTTCCTGTCGGCATCGGACGTAAGATTATGGAGCGTTCGAAGGGTTAAAGAGATCACAATAAAGGTCACGTCAAGGATTATATTATAAGCAAATATTTTTCTTGAAAAAACCATCAACCTCTTTCTTGTGCCAAATCGAGAAGGGCTAGAAATTCACATCAGTGTTTTATATGAAGTCCCCTCTTTATTGCATTTCTAGGTTTAAAAGGGCTTTTCTAACATTTGAAAGGAAATCATTCATCTATCTTTTTACGATATCGCTAACTTACTAAAATGATATATTGATATATACTTGTCCGAATAACGAACCATGATAAGAAACTCTACCCGAAGAAGATCAATAAAGTTAGTGGCGCGCGGCTGTACGTGTATTTTCTTTCAACCTTCCATCTATTAATGCGCGATCTTGATGTTGAAATTTATCACATCGTCCTCAGTCCTTTTTTTTTTTTGGTGAAAAATTAAACGCTAATGTAATATTATGTGTGAACAACAATATTCGCATAACGTGGAGTAGCTAATTTTGGAAGTCAAGCGAACTACGTAACTTGGTTGGAGAAAAAATGGAGAAACACAGAGAAGTAGATAGAACCATACCTAAGAATTGCCACTGGACATTATTAGCCATGGCCAGGAACGAGAAAGCTTTCTGTTTTCACTTTTCATATGTTGGGACAGTCTCCTCACTGGTGGGATTCACATAATGGGAGCAAGCAGCAGAAGGGCAATAATAATAATGAAAATCAATCATCATAATTCATGAACACATATGTACAGAATCAAAAGTGAAGATAGATAATGAAAGCAACCTCGCTTGCGGGTGCATAATTGTGATGATTAACCATCATGTATTTTGACCGAAACACGTGTGCGGTGCGTGCCTCTCGTGTGCACGTATTGAAACGCACGTGTGTGGCTTTGTGTTGGCCATATATAAATATATTTCCTCAATGCTTAGTTGTTTGCCTTTACTCACGTGACGAGTTGGTTTCCAGCTGCACTCAAAACTCAATGATGTGTTTACGTGGAAGTGAGAATTATTGTCCAATCCTATTATTGAAATTGAATACACACACGCACGTTACATGTATGTATATATAATTCCATTGGTGGTAGGACATACACAAATGATTTGCATTTAAAATTGCGCGTAAATATGGAAACTAGCTAGATGTGCATGGTCGGGTCTCTACATATATTTTATAAGCATATAGTATGGGAAATGGAGATACAGTTCCGAAAGACGAGTGGGAAATTGTGAGTATAGGTTTCAGATGTGATGAAGTTTGTGTTTTCAACATTCTCTCTGCCACTTGAAAAAAGGAAGAGAGAGAGAGAGAGAGAATTCGGTAAAACCACGCTTCTCTCCCTCATATCATATATCCATCCATTTATATAAATAAGTAAAATCCGTATCTAAAAAAGCAGTAGATCACAGGAGTGCATTTTCAAGTTTTGGGATTGGAGGAATCTTTTTTCATTCCTCTGCCCTGAGGTCACTTTAATCGCCAAAAGCTTTGAAATACAGAGAGAGCCAAAGAGGCCACCGAAAAGCATGGAGACCTTATCATGACACACCGAGAAAGAAGAAGAAGGCAAAGAAAAAGAGAGGGGGAAAAGGGATTTGACGGGCCAACACACACTGACACACACAAGAGGGAGTAGGGTAATTAATTAATTTAATTAAAGGAGGGAAATCCAAAGTCAACCGTGGCTCATGATTTGGTCTTGGCTGTTGCAGGCACCACCTCACTCCCCACTGGGTGACTTTAGTGAGCGTGTCGTGTTCTATATAATTAGAGAGGTGCGTAGCCTCAAGTAGTCGACCATGGGAAGCATGAAGGTGCACCAACTGGCACGTGGACTCTGCTGGGAGCAAGAACCCTCACCCTCCCTCTCTCTCGGCTGCAAGCGTCTCCGCCCTCTCGCCCCCAAGCTCCCCTCCTCTCCCTCTCCACTCGACCTCAAGACCTTCATCCGCCCCGAAAGTGGCCCCAGAAAACTCTCTCAAGACCATTCTCACAAGGACTCTCCCCAGGTGCGACGACGCAGCCTGGCTGATGATGCGCTGTTTTAATGTTTCTGGTGAAATAAAGAAGGCTTAGCTGATCATGAATGCTTGTTTGGTTTGATCATGATCTGCAGGTGGAAACGCATCCCGGAGGGACGAGATGGAACCCCACGCAGGAGCAGATTGGGATATTGGAGATGCTGTACCGAGGCGGGATGCGAACCCCGAATGCTCACCAGATAGAGCAGATCACGGCCCAGCTTGGCAAGTACGGGAAGATCGAAGGCAAGAACGTGTTTTATTGGTTCCAAAACCACAAAGCACGCGAGAGACAAAAGCAGAAACGCAACAGTCTCGGCCTCTCTCACAGTCCCAGATCCACAGTATCCACCCCCGTTACTGCCATGACTTTTGACGCGAGGGTGGTACGTACCTCTATTATGACTGTGTGTTCCGGACATAAATATTCTCTGATCATTTATTAGCATCTCCGGTTGATATGGGCCCGTGCTTACTTAAATATTTTGGACGCAGGGTGAAATAGTGGGGGCAGAGGAGGATAGTCCGTACAGGAAGAAGTGCAGGAGCTGGGCGTTCGAGGGCTTTCAAGACCAAAGCAGGACGTGTAAAGAGGAAGAACATAGAACTCTGGAGCTTTTCCCGTTGCACCCGGAAGGCAGATGAAGGGGTTTCATCATTTATCCGCCATGTTCTGATCTGTACCCTGCAGCTTTTGTAACCACCAACGTGATATCTTTCTACTCAAATACTGATTGAATTATGTGCGCTTTGCTTTATTTTTCTTCTTTCTTTTCGTGTTGAGGAAAGAAGAAAGACAAAGTTGTTTCTCTCAGTACTCTACCGCTTAATGGTATCCTCTCCTGACTTTGCAACCGATCGAGGCCCTTCTTTTTCATTTCTCTTTAGCCTTTTCCTCGATTTTCTTCCTGGGGTGGGTGTGTGACTTTGAAAAAAAACTGCCCTTTTCACTACAGAAACTTGTGGATCGAAGCTTTTAGGTTAAAAGTGCAAGCTACGAACACTGAAGTCCACGCACCTACTTGTTCTTCTCCTTCTTAAGCTACCCTTTTGCATCTTAACTAAGCTCGTTAATGAAAAAGCATGATTGTCCTTTAGCCGAAAACTTGACAGAAAATCATACTAGATACTCCACTTGCTCCATTATTCATTCGACTTTCATAAAGTTGGCAGGCACACCAACTATCAAAGAGAACTCAGTTAAAAAAAAAAAGAACTCCCATCATTGACATGCAATTTTTTTATTAATTATCGCACGATATTTAATATTAGTGGTCAGTAGGGCCACTCCTCCTTCACTTCTCTCAACAATTAGGAGGGAAAAGAGAGAATCAGCAATTTGAACTTATGAGATCGCCAACCGGTTTCTTCTCGCTTTCTGTGTCATGACGTTATCATTACCGAAATCGCTAGTTCAACGGTTAAAGGGTTTATCAAAATTAACGATTCTTTTTGGGAAAATTACTGTGGGGGGGTAAACATGAAAGAAAATTAGAGGTAAAAATGAAGAATAAAAAATAATCTTAAAAATGATTATATACTGAAGCATCCATGCCCTTCGAGGGAGGAAAAAGATGTAGGAACTGGGAAGAGCACCACTAGGGCTGCGCCCTGCCACGACCTTGCCGTGAGACCTTATAAAAAGAGGATAAACATGACCATCAAAAATTATTTCCAGCTGAATTTTTACTGTTAGGTTGTTGAATATGAATAAATTTAAGTTGATAAAAGAAATCCTACAGGCCATATTAAAAAAAAAGTTGTGCTTATTAATTACCATAAAATAAGTATTTACTCATAAATTTAATTATTGAGGTTTTGAATTAAAATATTGTGTCATTCTCCTTTATTCTCTCCCCTAATTTTAGGGCAGTTACTCCCCATTCTCATAAATACTTTCTAACTATTTCTCCGTTTTCAATCGAGCCTTGGTCATATCCAATACGCTGTGTTTAAGCGTCATTATTCTTCTTGCAATCTTCCAAATTGTGGCATTTAAAGAAGATGAGAGACAGACAGAATTACTCCACTTATCGATTCTCGATATTGAGCTCTTTTTCCCCCATCAAATGAACCGTATAATTGTTTTTATTACCAGAAGAAGAGCATGGAATTTATTATAAATTTTTTCAAAAGTTAATTTATTAAACTAAAAGTTGTTTGGTTTCTTTCAATATAATGAAAAATATTTTTAAATGTACAATTACTAAAAAAATATTAATTTAAGATTATTTATAATTTTTATTATACAAATATAATATATTAGAAATGTTTAGAAAGTAATAATGGTTTAGGAGCCATGCATGCCACTTTGAAGTAAATGGTATTTTTTAAAATAGACGGCGTTCATTGTGATAATTTCCCAACAAAACAAATAATTTCAATTGAATTCCTTGATATTTGACTGCTATTTTAGATCTATTCAGTCTAGTTTTTTTTTAGGAATGATCAATTAATATTAATAGTAAAATGAAAAATAATTGTACAAAAATAGTTCTAGGAGTGAAAAAAAATATAAACAAAGGTTATAAGTTGATGAATTATTGAGAATTTTTGAGGTAGCATGATCATATTCATATAAAAAGTTAGAAGGAGCACATTTTAAAAGTAAATTGTAAAGGCTTTTCGCCACGATTTTCACCAAAGTAATATTGGAGAAGAACACGAGGCATAAATGTTGGTACGTTGATAAAAATATTATTAATACCCCATCCATAAAAGCATATAAAAATCTGAATGCTGTTGCCTGATGAAAAGATCATCTTAGTCAACACGTCTCCTTGACAAATGACACGTAAAGGCTAACTTAACTGTAATGAACCTCGTGATAAAAATCAAAATTACTTTTTTAAAATGTCATTCATATTCATATTACATGGCTGAAAAAAAAAAAACTTGCATAAGAAAATTGACTCTGATCAACTACTGACACCTCCCACATCAAGAATTTGAACATTGATTTATTACATATTAGTCTCTTCGACTATTCCAAACTTCTGTGGGATGCACATTTCTCTCTTTATCTATGCATGTGTTGCAGTTGCTTGTTTTGAATACATTGGGCTTCTTTTCCAGCCTGAGAAAACAAACGAATTTAGGTGGAGCGTATATATATATATATATATGCAATAAAGTTAAACAAAAAGTAATTAAAAATAAAATTTAATTATAAATGAAACGTTGTTTGTTTTCCTGGGTTATAGATGAAACGAAACGTTGAACAGTGAACATAACCATCACTTGGTATGTTTTGATTAAGATCATAATAAGGTCCGTAGGCTTCATTCATTTCCATCACAATGCTGGAGGTATGAGAACCGTTTAAATAAGCAGACCACGTAAATGCGACAAACTCTTAGGCCTCGTGGATCGAATTGCATCGTCTCAGATCTGCTGGTCAATGTGATCACTTGGGCCTTACTTATCCGACGTTTCAGCCATGTTGTCGCTCTGTCTTTCATGTTTATTTGACTCTGTCGATAATTGGGCCAAGCACTGTAGATGGCCTAGAATTAATTGTGAATGCGATAAAGTATAAAATATTTAACTAATACGGTGATTGGATTAAGTGGAAGGAACTAGATTGACTTTGAATAAAATCAATAGTTTGAATTTTGTATATTGAAAAAGGATCATGTTGAAGAAATGCTCTCCGTTATAGGCTTGAAATGGCTGCACCAATACCATACCATACCAGGCTAGTAGCTAACCCGAGGTTTGGTCTAGATAACACCTTAGACTAGGCATGTTGGCATGAGGTTTGGTCTAACCTGCTGATAACCTGACACAAGACCAAACCATGCTTGGCTTACTGGGCTAGAGACTGGTCTATCGAATTTGAATGTTAATTAATGGGCTTGGGAGTTAGGGCAGGAAATAAAAGATGAGCCGAAAGAGAGCTTGAGGAAGAAAGATCGCATAGCAAAATTTTCAATCTATAAAAGAGGAGAAGTTGATGAACTAGGTAGGGCCTCGCAAGGTGAGATCTGGAAAAGGGACGGCAAAAAAACTCAAAACTTTCACCCTTGTTGTCGACAAACATCTAGAATCTACATCTTTCATCATCGTTGGTGACAAGACATGGAGATGAAGGAGAGTGGAGATGAACCGAAGATTTTCCTTGCTACTCAATGAATAATTAAACAAAAAGATGAAGAAGATTAAGAGGGAAAGTATGATGTGAGAGGCGAGATGAGGAGCAGAAATAATTCCTCATGAGAAAAGAGGGAGTATTTGATGCTAGAGGGGATAAAGAATATGGGAATTTTATTTAAGAAAATAAAATAAAATAAAAGACTCTGGAGATGCTTTTATAATATAACACGCATATAATATTTATATATATATATATATATATATATATATGATACTAGTTATAAACCACCGGGTTGGATGGATTGGATTGATTAGTAGGAAGGTCAATTTGATACCCGGGCTTATTCCGAGTGTCCAACCCGATTTGGTCTAACCCAAACTTGATTCATTTTTTTTTTTTGCTTGCTTGGACTGGACTAAATGAGATCAGGTCGGATTGGGTTGACTAAATTACCAAGGTTAATGCATCGCCCTAATAGGCTACAACCAACGATGCTCAAGTTGTAGGATGTCGGATAACTGTATAAAGAAAATATTAACTCCGTGTTTTCATTTTCTAAAAAATAATTTGTTTATTTTGACAACTCGCCGCACATTTAATTCAATGCATATTTCCAATGTTGCGTAGGTTTGCATTAAAAAAAAATTGATGTGTGGGCCATAATTAAAGTGGTTAGTGCGTGTTTGAAAGTTTTTAAACGAATATCCTTGTATCCGAGTAATAATATCCCACGCAGAGACTGAAATCCTTCGTAGCTGGTACAAAGTTCTTCTCCATGAATTCCAAGCCTAGTGCTGATCCAAACTTCGTCTTATCTGCCTCAACCACCCAAGATGCTATTATGGATCCACTTGCATCCAAATAGGAAGCTGACTCGCTCAACCGAAATGCTTTCAAAGTAGATGAAGAAATCATAGACGAGGGAACAAAAAGCAAACATTAACAAGTTCAACCAATGGACAAGTCCGATAGCACTCCTGACGTAAAAGCAAATCCAAGCAAAGAATAATTAATCTAGGGAATCAAAGCATTTAAAACTCACATTTCTTACAAAGAATCTTTGATAGGTTATAATGAATGATATGGTATCAATGAAGGGAACGACAATGAGTACATAATGATACTTTAGCAAAGGAATTAGAGCAAAAGTGGACTCCCTTGGAATATACTAAGAAATTGATGGAATCAGTATCCTAGTGCTCAGAATTCAAATGAGGAATGGAAGAAAATATGCACACCTCATATGGATGTTTGGTCACTAACACTCTAGGAATACAACTTAACTAATCATAAATCTATCAAGCCAATATTAGCAAAGATGTAACAGATTAAAGACTTTGAACTTATCAATTTGGTTAATAGCTACTATATAATCAAAACCAAGAATCAAGCAGCATATCAAAGCATTCTCAACGGAGGTCCATGGATAATTTTTTATCATTGCATTATGGTTCAGCGTCAGTCACCAAGCTTCAATCCTAGCACAAATAACCTTGAGAGATAGCACTTTGGATAAGACTAAACAATATTTCTATTCAATGCTATGACAAATAGATCCTATGGAGAATAAGAAATTGCATAGGCAGAACATTAAAGGTGGATATAAACACACTCTCAGAAGCTGATGCTAAGAACAAGTCTGGTAGAATAGAAAGGAAAAAATTTGTATAAATTAGTGCTGAAATTGATCTTCAAAAGAAACTTGTGCCCAAAATTCTTATTAGAGATGAACTTTATGATGTAGAATGTGGAAGCTTAAA